CCAGCTGGGTGTAGTGTCAGTGGACATCAGTCACAACGGAGCCATCGCTGCCTCCAGCTCCCTTGATGCTCACATCCGTCTCTGGGACCTGGAGTCTGGAAAACAGATCAAGTCCATGGATGCCGGACCAGGTAAGAATGGGCCTCGGAGGATCGTTGATATGGTTTTTTGATTAATTAGTATTGGGTGATAGGATATAGCTTGGTGAGTTGAGAGATTTTTATTCTTGTATTAAAAATCTTATATTTTCTTAACCAAGGTTTTGATCAAAATAATTTGGCCCTCTGTGTTCCTGAAATGCATGTCAGTTGTGGTTTTTCTTTTTACCTTTAACTTCTCATACACAAATTAATCCTTGATTAATTCAACTTGTTTTCGGACTGTTGACTATAATTTTCCCACTTACAGTCAGAATGTATTTGTTTAGTGTAAGATACTGTATGTCTAGAATTGAAATGATTATACTATTAATCGATTAGTTGATTGACAGAAAAATAATCTGTTGCTGTATTGATAAGTGATTAATTGTTTGTTGGTTTTCAAGCAAAAACACCAAATATGATGATTTCATCTTCTCTGTTGTGAGAATTTACTGCTTCTCATTTGTCTTATATGATAGCAAACTCAATCTTTAGGTTTTAGACTCTAGGTTGGACAAAACCAAACTTATGATGATGTTCCCTTGGACTTTAGGAGATTGTGACAGTCCCCTCTTCATTAGATTTGGTTGTTACTGATATTATTAATGAGGCTTGCCAGTAACTATTTTTCTTACAGGCGTAGAAAATTCCCTTTCTAGACAATTCCTGACGCCTGTAAGCGTTACTCATTTCGAATGACTTGGCTCTCAAACTGATACTTCTTCTAAAAAGTAAAATGGTCTCACTGTGTCATGTTGCGTGTTCATTCACTGTTTTTTTTTATGTCTATCACTTGCCACTGAAGTAAGGTCAGCATAAAGGAAATTGTCACTCAGTTTTGTATTAAAACAAACCTGCAGGGGATGACAGCTTGTCCGGTCTGCTGTGTGGCTCAGCATGCAAGTTTTATTTTTTACTCTCACCTCTCAAGAACCCCACACCCAGAAATGTCCGTGTCATTGTGCATCTTGACCGGGGCTGTACTTCATCTAAATGCCATGTCACCTTCCATTAGTGATACTCCAGTTCACTCAGTGGTTGGTCTGGGTCAGTGGATTAGTTTCTCCTCTATTTGAACATACTGTACTTTGGTATGTTTGGATTCTTCAGACATGAGATCTGTTAATATAAAACCTTTCTTCACTTTTCTTTTAGTGTATTTACATTATAATACTCAGCTTAACTAATCAAGTCAGCAGAGCACAAGGTAGGTTTTGTCTTGTTTGGTTGCGACTAGACAAGACACATGTATTCACATATAGGTATGCACATTAAAAAAGAAGTTATAACTGGGTGAAACATAGCTTTAATTGATTTTATTTGCTGTAGACAGCACTGGTAAAAGAATCAGTCTGATGAGTTAAATCCTCCCTTTGTCTTTCTGCTTTTCTCCTTAGTTGATGCATGGACGGTTGCCTTCTCCCCAGACTCTAAATACATCGCCACAGGAAGCCATCTCGGCAAGGTCAACATCTTCGGTGTGGAAAGCGGCAAGAAAGAATATTCTCTGGACACTCGAGGGAAGTTCATCCTGAGCATAGCTTACGTAAGGAACCATAATTTGTCATTCTGCTCGGGCGGGTAGTGGCTTCTTAAGCTCCAACTCTCTGAGGACTCACTCAGATGAGATCTCACCACCTTGGCTTCACAATAACTCATCTTGATTTGTTATTTGCCTCGTTCACACCCAAGGTTTCCCCTTGTTTTAACTCTTAACCCTTTCACTGCAGGTCCGCAGGTTGTTCTTAAAGACCCGTCTCATGTCCTCCACATTTGAAAATTAAAATGATACTCAATAATTTCAATTTTAATCTGATTTGCTCTTCAGAGCCCTGATGGAAAATATCTGGCCAGCGGGGCCATCGATGGAATCATCAACATCTTTGACATCGCCACCGGAAAGCTACTCCACACACTGGAAGGTAGATTCAATAATTAATATTTTCTATTTAGGTAATAAAAGACGGATTAAGTAGCTAATCTTTTTAGCCCTAAAATAAAATGGAAAATCTTCAGGGAAAAAAATGGAATGAGCGTTTACAGTCTTCCACTTCTGCATATTTCAAATACTTCCAGCAAAGACAACATATGCATACTGTTCATGTATTACACACAAACCGGTAATTGTTTTAGTGTTAAGGATGACAAAGAGGTTCAAGTGTGTTCCTTTACGTCTTTGAAAACAGCAGAGAGGCAGAGATCAGCCACAGCTAAAGACTGAGTCTGTCTCCTCTCTCTTTCAGGTCACGCCATGCCCATCAGATCCCTCACCTTCTCCCCTGACTCCCAGCTGCTGGTCACAGCCTCAGACGACGGCTACATTAAGATATATGACGTGTGAGTTCAGCCGGCAGCTTTTTTTTTACTCCTGACATCAGTTTTACTCCTTCAGATAAGATAAGATGGAACTTAAAAATAATACAAATTACAAGTGTAGAAACAGAATACAGAACAAAAAGAGAAAGGAAACAAAAATTTTGTTTGCGCTAACTAATTTGCTGATATTGTTTTGCAGGCAACATGCCAACCTGGCCGGTACACTGAGTGGACATGGATCCTGGGTACTTAATGTTGCCTTCTCCCCAGATGACACACACTTTGTCTCAAGGTAAATCTACATTTTTAGCCTCAAACTGTCTGAAAACACAGCTTCAGTTAGCTGCAACACAAGTATATATAAGGATTCATGCTCCAAACATGAAAAGAAGTTCAGCTGCATTTATGCAAGATTACAGTTAACTTTGTGAAGCTGAAGAAATAAGTGACAGACAAGAAAACGTTGGCACACCTCAATCCATAGTAAATCCTCAGAGGTGTTTTCCTCTGTCTACTTTCCCATGCTTTAACTCCCACTGTGCGAAGCTGCTGTCAGCTAAAGCTGTTTTTCAGACAGTTTCCAGTTCACAGTGCCAAGATAAACTGAGCAGGTCAGCCAGATAACCCAAAGTTTGATTCTGAGATGAACTATAAAACATGTCAAATGTTCTCTCTCTGCTCTGCTGCCTCCAGCTCGTCTGACAAGAGTGTGAAAGTTTGGGACGCCAGCTCCAGAGCATGTATCAACACTTTCTTCGACCATCAAGATCAGGTGACAAAGACGACCCATGCTTCTCCTCACTGAGTGTGTTACAATCAAATTCAATGTGAGAGAATCCATCTGCTCTAGGTGCTGATGTGTTGGGGAAATCAATACGGCCAATGTCACGGGCTGGCTCCTCACGTAACCCTGCTCTGATGTTTCAAAACCAATAATCCCAGCTGTCATTACATCTCCGGTTGCAGACGCCTGTGGGGAGTTTTATCCGTTGTCCGACAAAGCCTCTGATTGAAATGGCACATCTCCTCGGAGAGGAGATCAGAGGCGGTTGAGTCTGCCATATTGTTTTTGTGTCTCTTCATTGTGTGAGTGCAAAACCAGCAAGTCTGCTGAGACAATTTGCAGCCAATTAGCTCTTCTAGCTTTGCTTTGTTCTCCCATGTGAAACATTTTTTCAGCCCTTGTCTGCTTTGTTCTTCAATCTCTGCGCTGCCCAGTTTCTGATAAAGTGAGAGGCGTTCTGTTGCATTTTTAGATTTTTATGAAAAAGTTCAAAGAACAGCATCCATGACCACTCAGTGTTTAGCCTGGATGCCTGTTTTTTTTGTGCAGGTGTGTGCTTCAGCTGCTTTAGCTGCAGCTCTAACTTGTGATGCAAAAAGTAAGAATTTTTTATCAGAAAATTTACAGTATTAAAAAGGGGTCTTTTCTTCAGGAACGGACATAAGTTATCACCCTCTTAAAAATGCAATTAAAACCTTATATTAGTATTATGTTTTGCTTGTTTTCTGTAAATGTCGGGTTATGTGAAAGGTGACTGAAATCAAAAGTACTATTATAATTGTGTCCTGTTTGTAAATACAATAATTCAAGAACAATACGGAGATGGAAAACCTAGCAAGATGTCCCTCTGCCTTAATCTTGTGAGTCAAGCGACATGTATGGGTAAAGATGTAGATACCTGTATGTAACGAACACCAGCGCACAGCATTATTGAATACCCTATCTGTTCTGCTCCTGTCGTCTTCAGGTGTGGAGCGTTAAGTACAACAGCACCGGCTCCAAGATCATCTCAGCTGGAGACGACCGTGCCATCCACATCTACGACTGTCCCATGTGAAGAAGAATGCCCTGTACAGGCTGCAGGAGAAGAGGACCTTCAGAGCTGTTTACTCAAATCATGGTGTTGAAGTTGGTAATTCGGGGAGGGAGGGAGAGGGACAAACTGTAAATGTCATGGATTATTTTGCACTGGCCAACTACGGTCAAATAAAAGGCTTGTTTTTGTATTTCTTGTTTCTGTTGTATTTTTGTAGTTTATTGTTTGAGTCATAGAAAAGCAGTTTCATAATTTTTCAACAGAACTTTTTCAACCAGAAATGGACAAAAAGCTTGTGTTAGAGGACATGTAATAATTTGTCTGTTAAGTTACATCTGTTAACCTTTTACTCCATTACATAATTTGGAGACATTACTTTGAACTTGGGTAAACTGCAGCCATTAGTTTTTTGTAGACTATGTATGTGGTGTCTGGGTGTGATATGACAGACTGGAAATAATTTATTGATTCAATTGATTCTAATGTTGGATGCTCAGTCACATTAGTAGTTGAAGTTGTTCTCCTGCTCACATGTAACTTTGTTTCACCAGTTAAAACCATGTCTTCTTCCTTGCTTTTGCCAGATGAGAAATGTAAGTTCAGAGGAAACCTCCAGTAGCAGTGTGCAGAGGATTAAGTGTGATGTAGTGCTCCATCCAGTGGCCCAGCAGGTGTACTGCGGCTTCACAATACACTGATGCTGTAGCAAAAGGCTGTATTTTTTTTTTTTTTTGAAGACATCTTTATTGTGTGCAGATCATGATACTAGTTACCAAGTACAGCAGTGATTCACAATTCTTTATTACTTTTCATCAAATATCCACAAGTTCTCGATGTTTAAAATCACAAACTGCTTTTTAAATGATTCTCAGATTTCAGCAGGTAGTTGGTAAACACAGGTGTAGCACTTCCTCCAAACAGGCAACGGTCCATTTAATTTGCTTTTTCAGAAATCGTGGAGGAAATACTGAGTCCGTCATTCTTCAACACTGTGTTGTACAAACTGAAGTGCCGCTTGCAAACACGAAAACACTGAAGTTTATAAAAGAAAGGGCACAGAGCATCAAACCTCGCTGAGATGGGTTTTCTGGCAGTAACAGTTAAATGGCTGCGTTTTACATCCTTCTCCAACAGTGGCCTTGAAGTACCTCCCACTCATTAAGAGACTGGTGAAATCTGAAGGCAACTTTGGAGTTTAGTTTTATCTGCTGGTGTGGTACTGCTGCATTTCATCTTGTCAGCTTCCTGCCCTGTAACTAAACAGTAGCAGATTGGACTTCCAGTCAACTGAACAGCATGAATACACAGAATTATTAACATTAGAAGTGGCCCATGAGGATTGACTGTAGTCTAAAGCCTGTAACATTGAGTTTATGTACACCTCTTCTGCTATGTCACCTCTTTTCTTCTTCTGTCATCAAGCTCCACTTTGTTTTTATACAGACAAAAAGAGGCAGAACCACCTGCCTTCAGTGTATCTATATGTAGAAATCATCATTATACCTGCACTACTGACTTCACAAACTCCCAAAGCTACATTAAAGACAGGCTGTAGGTCAAATTACACAAACCTGGGCCAGGTTTCACAAAGACCTCTACAGATAAATGTAATATTTGTTGTTTTGAAAGTAACCTGAACAATCACATTTTAAAGATTTGGAAATCTAGCTCAAGTTACACACTTTGAAGGTAAAGTAATTCAACAACATTGCTGTAATTAAACAACAACAAATCTTATTCTCTTTTCATTTTGGCCTAAAACAAAGGTGAGATTCTTTGCAGATGTTTCAAACCTCTGTGCAAAAGTCTTCTTTCACTGGAATGCACTCAGATATCAAACTCTTCTCTGTGCTCATTAGGGTAGACACAAGGACATTTGTGTCTCTATTTTGGCACGCTGAACACTCATTGGACTGGCCTCAGTGCAGATGCTCTTAAAACACAGTGTAACTTACTGCAGTGTACCTGTAGCTCTATTTTAAAAATTGAACCCGGCTGGAAAGTACGCTCAACATGTATCATGTGCTCACAAGCTCCGTCTGCCTGAGTGCACAGTAAAAATAAAAACTGACTCGCTCCATATCCATTCATAAGAAAAATTAATTAAAATATACAGTCTAGGAGCAATGGCTTATCTACTCTTCTTCAACAAGCAGCCTCTTTTCAGTGGTTTAAATTTTGAGAATACATATATTTTTTTTTAATGCTGCATTTAATTTCGGCAAAATACGGCACATTGTTTTCTGTTATATTCATATTTCACAGTCATAGTTTAGCAGAAAGGAAAAAAAAGGCCAGAAGAAACAGGTTTGTCAGATAGAAAATACCAAATTAATAACCCCTGTAATTCTCAAGTGTAGCTAGAGACAAACATCACCACTTGCACTCATCATACATGCAGTAAAACAACACAGTCTGAAAGGCTTGTGGCAGCGGCTGCACAGTAGAGCAGGTAACCCCCGAGGCTGGAGAAAGATCTGGGTCTTTTTCTTTTGAGGTTGACGCCTGGTACGGGGCTCCTGACTCCCATGTGGCCTTTCACCAGTGTCTGGACTCTACCAGCTCAGCTCGCAGGCTCAGTCTCTTCAGAGTCTCGTATCCCACCACGATGAGCACCGAAGTGGGCGTGGAGGAAATGATGCGGGCCGACAGCCCCTTGGTCATCCCCCAGACGCCCTCCTCTGCCAGCAGCTGCTTGAACGTCTCGATGACAGATGATCGTCCCTCCACCTGCAACACACAAGGAAGTGTTAAATCATCTTCGTTACTTCTTTGTCAGCTGCTGATTCCAAGGTCAAGAATGATTTTCCAAATCTCAATTCAAAAAGTCTCAACAGTGCTGAGAAAACTAAAACATCTGCAATTACTTTACAACTAGGCACACTTCATCATGGAAGGAAGATCATGTTCTACGACCAAAAGCTCCAGAACAGCTAATAAAATGGACCTTGTGGTGAAATAATTTTGTCATTTAAATTTTGTTGTGTATCATTTGTTTCCAAAGCTCGGTGGTAACGTAATCTTAGTGAGGCAAAGTTCTGCTATATGGTGTTTGTTCTGACTGTGTGAGCACTGAATGAAATGACGTTGTGTGTTTACAGCTCTGAAGAAACAGAAACTACTCAATGCTGCACTGTAATCAAGAGCAGGTTGAGAAACTAATGGGTAATATTGTGTAAGTGCAGCTACAGGGAAAAGGAGCTGACGACAGCTGTATGTGGTGTCGAGGGAGTAACTGTGGGAAAAATTGAACAGTAGAACTTAGTTTTTAATTGAACGATTCTGAAGATTTATTGATGTAAAATAGACTTGAATGAATTGAACCTGAATGTATGAATGCACTGGTTTAAGACAAACATACATTGGGTAATTCTTTTCATATCAAGCCTTGTTGAATGATCTACTGTGGAGAGTGCTTAACTTTGAGTGGACTACATCCAGGTTAGGTTTTCTCACAGCTCAGTGTGGAACTCCAGAGTTTTCAAGTTCTTCAACAAAGACAGGTTACAATCTGTCGCCAATATAAAATCACTTGTTATCACTTGACTGGACCTCCGTTGTTGGGTCACATGATAACAATCCTCTCCATGACAACTGAGCAAACTCCATCCACTAATCTAGGCCAGAAGATATGGCCTGAAGCTTCCTGGAAATTTTCCAGTGAGTGGACCTTGCCTGAGGAAATTACTACTATTTCCATCTTCAATAATGACCCTTCAAGCTCAAATGACAAAAGTAGACAGGGAAGTCAAGACATTAGACATCTACCAACTCAGACACTGACTGTACTCCTCGCTCAGTTTGTTTTCAGAGGGAGTCTTGTTAATAAACTTTGGGTAATTTCTCTCCCCTGACAACTGTGACCCAATAAAACCTTCACACTTTGTTCATTCCTCTTTTCAAGATGTAGTTTTTGTAAATGCATTCTTCATTTAATGGCAAAACCCTTTAGCAAACCTGCCTGAAGGAACAATATACCAAAACAAAAATGAATGTGTCTCAGTGTTTACCTGTACTCTTGCTCGAACAACATCCATGGGGTTGGTGATGGTGGAGGCGGTTGCTGCTGCCATTGGTCCTGCCAAAGCCTGCAGAATCAGGTGGGGGCACTCACTAGGCGCTAACAGGGACAGCTGCTCTGAGAATGCAAAAGATATGAAAACAGTGTAAGGCCAAAGTATGTCACTTAACAACAGTCGTTTTTTATTCTTGTAGGTTTTGCTGGAGCTGCTATATATTTTGGTTTGAGTTTTATATGAGGCCAAAGTTAAGTGGTGAACTGGCTTTCAGTCCACGCTCTGATCATGTGCACATAGCAGGCAAGAAAGCACAGCTGACAAGGTGTTGATTTACCTGCATAAAAATGATAAAAAGGCCACCACAGTGCACTGTTTGGGATGTATGTGAGTAGAGATGCCACATAGCCCCTGTAAAATCCCCTGAATCCATCGGCTGCAAATATCTGCACCGTAATTTCACGTGTTTGTCCGAAGGTCAGTCTGCGTTTAGTTGCTGCGAGCATCATTTTGGGTTTGGCCTTGAAGCGAGTGAGGTGTTCTCCCTGTCCTTGCATCATCAGGTGCTGAGACACCACGTCTATGGGCACAGTGATTGTCTGTGCCACAAGGGAAGCTGCCCCTCCCGCCACCACCGACTTCACTGTGTTACTGGGCGAGTACTGGGACACATACTTGCGCACCAGTTCATAGGTGGTGATATAAGCCTGTCCTGAGACTAGGGTGAATGTGTTGACCATGAATCCGCGGTACAGGCCGTGCACGCCCTCTGCTCGCAGGATCTTGCAGAAAGCATCAAAGGTTCCGGAGTAGAGGGCCTTTCCCTTCTGCACCTGGAGGCGGGTTCGGATGAGGCTGGCTGGGTAGACCGTGGCCCGGGTGGTCAAGGTCATGAACACACCCAGGGAGTAAAACTTCCTCTTGTCCAGGTCCTCCCATTCGATAATCTGGATCGCACCTTTCTGCTGCATGGTCCCGGGCAGGGCAGGGCAGGGCACCGCTGCACCCCTAGAGCCACATGTCTACAGTCATCAACCCTCCAACTGCCATCATACCTGTAACCAAGAACATTCAGATTATTAAAGCAGGAGACATTATAGTGACAGAGCAGAGCTGACACAGTTAGTCAATGAATATATTAGTTGATTGACTGAAAACATACGGTTTTCTGTCAATTGATCATTTCAGTCGATTTTCAAGCAAAGATTCTTCAATTTCAGCATTTTAAGTGTGAGGATTTTCTGCTTTTCTTTTCGATTGTGAATTGAATATCTTTGGGCTCCAGGAAATCATAATGGTCATTTTCACAATTGTCTGAGATTTTATTGGGAAGAAAATTATTAAATCAAGAAAAAGATAAAATCAGCAGATGAATCAATAATGAAGATGATAGTTAATTGCAGCCTTATACAAGGTAGCACACTAAACCATGAATACCAAGGCTGCATCATAATGTATAGTGTAAATACAAGGCCCTTTACACAAGGCAAATGATGAATTAGGGATGCAACTGACAGTTATTTCCAATATCCATTAATCTGACAATTATTTTCTCAATTAATCAAAGTGGTTAATAAATCATGCCCATCAGTTTTCTAGAGCTCAAGTTGAGCCACAAATTACTTATTTTCTCTGAACCAACAGTCCAACACACAAAGATATTCGATTTACAATGATGTAAAAGAGGAAAGCAGCAAATTCTCACATTTAAGAACAAAAGTGAGTTATTGGCACTTTTTCCTGTCAAAAAATTATTGATCAATTATCAAAATTGTTAAGAATTGATGTTAGAGATATTCCAGTACTGAATACTGAACCAATACCAATATAAAAATCAGTAAAAACTTTTTTTGTTTTAACAGCTGCACACTATTATATGATGTGATATGATTGCTGTCATTCTTGTATGGCATGACTCATCAGAACAACTCTAACCGATGTTCTGTCAATCATCTAATCGATTGATAAGATCATGTTAGTTCTATGGTAAATCAAACAACTGACCTGCCAATAACCTGAAATGATCTTATCACCACCTTTTTTTTTAAATTTTCTACTGTCGTTTCTCGTTTGTTTATCATAGATTTGTAATTAAGTTAGATTGAACTCCAGATTGCTCCTGATGATCAGGCCAGCACCTTGCATAGAATAATAGCTTGCTGACATAAATGCCCTCCATGTACCATTTATAACACTGTGACATAATGAATCTTAACTTTTGTGAACAGTTACAATAAACAGGGTCACTACCTTTCTGCAATCCTGAACTGAGCAGGAGTTTTGCAACTAAGACAGCATGTCCTTTCCTTGTAAATTGTATGCAAATATTATGTATTATGCAAATACATAAAAGAGGATATTCAAAACTGGGAACACCTGAGCACATCAAAAAAGTGGCACTGTCTGAAACTTCAGTTCATAAATTGGTCAATAAATGTCTGCAGAGTTACTTCAACGGCCCACTGCTGCGTAGAATTGGGGAAGATACTGGTGCGTTTAGCTCGTGTTACCCCAGAAACCCCCACGAGTGGAGAGAGGAGTATAGAAAGAAGGGAGAGAAGGAGAGTGAAAATATTATTCCTTTAGGAATGTGATGCAGCCAGTAGCACAGGAATCATTGCACGGGTAGAGGGCAGAATGGATTCCACTAAATGTCCGAAAATTCTGAAAGTAAATGTCCTGCAGTCAGTCAAGGAAGTTAAGTTGAAGAGAGGCAGGACAATGATCCAAAGCAGACCTCAAAATCCACCATGATCTACTTCAAGAAACACAAACTGAAGCTTTTAGAGCAGCCCTCAGTCTTGAACATCACTGTGGGTACATGTTAAACATGCTGTGTATGCAAAACGGCCTAAAAATATCTCAGAACTTGAAGTTATCTGCAGGAAGAGTGGGTGATTGTTAAATCAGGAACAGAAAGTCTCAAAGCTGGCTACAGAAAGCATTTAGAAGCTAGGTTTACTGTTTTTTTGTAGAGCGCCCAAACTTTTGCACATGCCACAATTATTTTTTATGTTTTTGGGTTGATGAAACTATAAATGAACCGTGCAGAAACATTTCGACAAAGGTTCATTTCAATGTCTGCCTGTTGCAGGGGTTGTATTTATTTACTAATTTTCACTTAAAAAAACAAACAAAAAAAACACATCAAAATATTTGATTTGCCCAGGGGTACCCAAACATTTGCACAGTACTGTGTGTCCTGCAACATTTAAGGTTCAAGTCACAGCCTGACAGACCTGACAGACTTGTCACAACTAGGACGGGGAACAACTCCTTGTGTTTGTTATCAACAAAACACATCGGGAGCCCACACAGTAGAGGAATGCGGGACTGAGCCACGGGCTGGAATAACACGGAACTGGCATGCAATTTTACTGCAGACATACTTACTACCAAACAAATAATCAAGTCCAGTTGTTTTTTCGATTTAAACTCCTTTAGGATACTATGACCTGGACAAATGAGAATATGCACAGGCCTTACTACCAAACGTTATGTTCATGCTAAACGAAAAGACAAAAAGGAGAGTTTTGACTGCACAAATCAGTTCGTAAGTGAAACGTGCAGTGCAGGGTATTTCTGTGCAGCAGTAAAGGCCAGAATAATCGACAATGACACAAAAACCTGATTTGTCCTTGTCATGTGATCTCACATTAAAAGTCAAGCACAGTTTCATAACATATCCGTTTAAGTCTAATCAGTCCATCCAGCATTTCTAACGCTGTTTTGCAGCGGTTGGTGAAACAAAAAGAGGAAACACGTGCAATGTCACAGTGTGTACTCACGCTGCTGTAGGTTAGCTAGCTAACAACGAGGGCAACTTCGTTGTGTAATATTAAACGTAAACACACTCTCTGGTTAAACTTACCTGTCAGGGGGTNGACAATTATTTTCTCAATTAATCAAAGTGGTTAATAAATCATGCCCATCAGTTTTCTAGAGCTCAAGTTGAGCCACAAATTACTTATTTTTTCTGAACCAACAGTCCAAAACACAAAGATATTCGATTTACAATGATGTAAAAAAGGAAAGCAGCAAATTCTCACATTTAAGAACGAAAGTGAGTTATTGGCACTTTTTCCTGTCAAAAAATTATTGATCAATTATCAAAATTGTTAACAATTGATGTTAGAGATATTCCAGTACTGAATACTGAACCAATACAAATATAAAAATCAGTAAAAACTTTTTTTGTTTTAACAGCTGCACACTATTATATGATGTGATATGATTGCTGTCATTCTTGTATGGCATGACTCATCAGAACAACTCTAACCGATGTTCTGTCAATCATCTAATCGATTGATAAGATCATGTTAGTTCTATGGTAAATCAAACAACTGACCTGCCAATAACCTGAAATGATCTTATCACCACCTTTTTTTTTAAATTTTCTACTGTCGTTTCTCGTTTGTTTATCATAGATTTGTAATTAAGTTAGATTGAACTCCAGATTGCTCCTGATGATCAGGCCAGCACCTTGCATAGAATAATAGCTTGCTGACATAAATGCCCTCCATGTACCATTTATAACACTGTGACATAATGAATCTTAACTTTTGTGAACAGTTACAATAAACAGGGTCACTACCTTTCTGCAATCCTGAACTGAGCAGGAGTTTTGCAACTAAGACAGCATGTCCTTTCCTTGTAAATTGTATGCAAATATTATGTATTATGCAAATACATAAAAGAGGATATTCAAAACTGGGAACACCTGAGCACATCAAAAAAGTGGCACTGTCTGAAACTTCAGTTCATAAATTGGTCAATAAATGTCTGCAGAGTTACTTCAACGGCCCACTGCTGCGTAGAATTGGGGAAGATACTGGTGCGTTTAGCTCGTGTTACCCCAGAAACCCCCACGAGTGGAGAGAGGAGTATAGAAAGAAGGGAGAGAAGGAGAGTGAAAATATTATTCCTTTAGGAATGTGATGCAGCCAGTAGCACAGGAATCATTGCACGGGTAGAGGGCAGAATGGATTCCACTAAATGTCCGAAAATTCTGAAAGTAAATGTCCTGCAGTCAGTCAAGGAAGTTAAGTTGAAGAGAGGCAGGACAATGATCCAAAGCAGACCTCAAAATCCACCATGATCTACTTCAAGAAACACAAACTGAAGCTTTTAGAGCAGCCCTCAGTCTTGAACATCACTGTGGGTACATGTTAAACATGCTGTGTATGCAAAACGGCCTAAAAATATCTCAGAACTTGAAGTTATCTGCAGGAAGAGTGGGTGATTGTTAAATCAGGAACAGAAAGTCTCAAAGCTGGCTACAGAAAGCATTTAGAAGCTAGGTTTACTGTTTTTTTGTAGAGCGCCCAAACTTTTGCACATGCCACAATTATTTTTTATGTTTTTGGGTTGATGAAACTATAAATGAACCGTGCAGAAACATTTCGACAAAGGTTCATTTCAATGTCTGCCTGTTGCAGGGGTTGTATTTATTTACTAATTTTCACTTAAAAAAACAAACAAAAAAAACACATCAAAATATTTGATTTGCCCAGGGGTACCCAAACATTTGCACAGTACTGTGTGTCCTGCAACATTTAAGGTTCAAGTCACAGCCTGACAGACCTGACAGACTTGTCACAACTAGGACGGGGAACAACTCCTTGTGTTTGTTATCAACAAAACACATCGGGAGCCTACACAGTAGAGGAATGCGGGACTGAGCCACGGGCTGGAATAACACGGAACTGGCATGCAATTTTACTGCAGACATACTTACTACCAAATAAATAATCAAGTCCAGTTGTTTTTTCGATTTAAACTCCTTTAGGATATTATGACCTGGACAAATGAGAATATGCACAGGCCTTACTACCAAACGTTATGTTCATGCTAAACGAAAAGACAAAAAGGAGAGTTTTGACTGCACAAATCAGTTCGTAAGTGAAACGTGCAGTGCAGGGTATTTCTGTGCAGCAGTAAAGGCCAGAATAATCGACAATGACACAAAAACCTGATTTGTCCTTGTCATGTGATCTCACATTAAAAGTCAAGCACAGTTTCATAACATATCCGTTTAAGTCTAATCAGTCCATCCAGCATTTCTAACGCTGTTTTGCAGCGGTTGGTGAAACAAAAAGAGGAAACACGTGCAATGTCACAGTGTGTACTCACGCTGCTGTAGGTTAGCTAGCTAACAACGAGGGCAACTTCGTTGTGTAATATTAAACGTAAACACACTCTCTGGTTAAACTTACCTGTCAGGGGGTCGTGTAGCTCGGGTTCACCTTCCACTGTGACTGCTGTGAAGCTGGGCTGCTTTGTTGAACTCATACGGCCTGCTCTGCTACAAGGTGGGTCATGCCTTCCGTCCATTACTGTTACGAACAAACATTGTCAAAGGTGAAAGGTCAAGGGTTGTGTTTGACTGCAGCGTGTTGTTGTTGTCACTACAACGTTTTTTCCCAAAATACAAGAAAAATGTGGTGTGGAAATGGTTTCCTCCTCCAGTAGTTGACTCTTGTATCGATTGTGTTTACTTTATGAGCGGTTTGTGTAATTTGACGATGATGGTGCATTCAGGGCCAGATGCAAACGTAGGAATTTCAGCGACCGTGTTTAAACCAATGAACAAAAAAAAAAACGTTAATGGTTTTTATATGATACCCAGAGCAGCAGTGGAAGAAGCTCTGAAAAGAAAAAGTAGCAATGGTATAACATAATAATAATCCATTACATGTAAAAGTCCTGCATTCAAAATCTTACTAAAGTAAAAATGTGAAGTACTATCAGCAAATTTTACTTTAAAGTATCATTATACAGCAGAATGGTCCCTGTCAGTGTTCATAAAATTATTTTGTTGGAAACACTTTAGTTACTTTATTCCCAGTAAATAAACATTCACTAAATGGTTTATGACACAGTGTAATGCAATTATAAGCAGTTATGCTAAGGACATTTTAAGTGTTATCAATGTACGGAATTTGTCAACAATATTCAATCAATCTCAGGAGTTGCAGTAAATGTTAGCTAATAATGTTGGCTGATAAAATGACAAGAAATTAAAGAACAGAAATACCAAAAATATCTTTTGCAACAGTTCTATAGTTTGTCCACCAGAGAGCAGTAGACAAGTTTACTGGTAAGTCCTGCCCAGTGCGTTTTTTGGTCTGAGTTTACAAATTTGAGAGAACCTTATCAAAAATATACTCCAGTACTGCCTCAGTTTAATTATAATAGTGACTTCATTATGGATTAATCTCCTGATTGTTTTCTTGATTGTTTGATTTGTAATAATTCTGAAAACAATGAGAAATACCCATCACAATTACCTAGAGCTACCAGTGGCACCCTCACAATGCTTTGTTTTGTCAAACCAATAATTGGTACCTCAAAATTATTAAAATTAATTTCTAATTTAATAAACAACATGAAAAAATGTAAATAATTTAAAGCAAAGGTAGCAAATCCTTACATTTGAAAAGTCATGATATGTGTGGCATCTTTGCATAAAGAAAATGGCCTAAAGAATTAATGTTTTAGTTGCAGATTAATTTTCTGTCAGTTGACAAATTGTTGCAGCTCTACTTGTATTTACTGTTAGATAGTTTAATTTATAACAAAACATCATATTTTATAAACTCTCTACATGTTTTGTATGCATGTAAAATCTTAATTTGTTAAGTAAGTATTTGTTAAGATTTAAGCGTAAATTTAATATCCATCTACAAAAAAAGTAAAGAAGCATAAAATGGAAATGCAAAAAAAAATGTAAGTGCAGTGCTTAGTATACTCCACCACTGCCTCCGGTTAATGGCCTGCTATTTTTAAATGTTTCTGTCAATTCCATTTTTAATGGTTTTTTTTATTTTGTTATTAATTGGCGAGTGGGCGTGGCTTTAGATCTCTGCCTCTGATTGTTCAGTTCGGCGCTGTCTCTGTGCAGTCGTGAGGACGGGTCGTGTTGATTTCAGAAGTCCATCAATGCGCTCACTCCCCAGTCAAAGGTAAAGAGGTGTCTTTTTCTAACCTTAAGCTCGCAAGCCCGAATATGCGATCAGCCGTTTACCCTTAACGGACGGGAATCGAATAAAAAAGATATGCCTATACCTGAAAAGAACGCCGTTTCTTTCAGTTAAACGTTACATAAAGTGTACGGCGTCAAAACTGATAGAGACAGAAAGCTAACAGTAGCTAGCATCGCTTAGCCTTACTATACAACTAACCAAGAGCTGTTAAATTAACCTGTTTTGTAAGCCAGAGGTGTCCTTTGCTCTGCTCAGAATGACACAATAACCTTTCCAGCTAAGCTTAAATGGGTTGTTAATTACCTGTGCTTTTTATATCTCCTCGAGACGTTCAGCTAGTAGCACGATAAGTATTCGAGAGTGTGCTTCGCGATAGGAGCAGCGTTAGCAGCGTGAACCTTAGCTGGTCCTCCATACCTTGTCATCAGGACTCCTGCACAGATGATCTCATGTATGAAGGTGTCATAGACAGCACTGTCATCATCAACATGTAAATTCTTGCACCAAATCAGCTTGTCATTGCAATGCGTGGTTTCACTTTAATTAACACAGGGACAGTGTAAAACAAGATGAGATTTCTTTTACATCTATTGACCCGTTTGTCTCTGTTGTCAAAGCACAAACCCAAATAACAGCACAGCTATTGAGTCAGTTTAATAGTGTTTCTGTCTTATTATAATAGGGATTTCACCTTTCACCTATATCTAACCGCTGCTCTTTGTCAAGTGAGGTTCCCATAAGGTTTATCTCCAAGGGATCTCAGTAGTGATCAGCCACTGTTTTTCATTGTGTTGTGTTTCATGTAGTACAGTGTATTTTCCATTCTGCATGCTTTGCATTAGGTGTAAGTGTTTTAGTTTTTGTGTACAGTTAATTAAAATAGGTGACCATCAAGAACTGTCCCTAATAAATTGATGCAGGAAAATGTATGTTTTAGGTTGTCATGTGAAAGGTAAGGAATCATCAGAGCGACCTGCACGCTGCCTGTGTACTAATCTGACCAAAAGAGCCAAATTGTGTAGAAAATGTTAAATGTATGATTTGGCAAGCCCTGAATATATGGACATATTTGCTTTAATATGCCCAATCATTCCTCCATATGAAAGTAGCTAGTTTTTAAAACTTAATTCCTTGCCCCTTCTAACAAAAGTGTCATTTAAATTTGGTTTATTATCAGAGTTTTAAGGAATCAGATGAACCACTGCATTATTTGTGCTTGACAATTTCTTTTCCAAGTAATTGTTAGGGCCTTGACTTTCACCTCTTACATGCCCTCATGATTGGATTGCAGGGTTGGCAGGATTGTTCTTGAGGACATTGTTCTTTTTTGTATTATTCAGTAAATACACATTCAGGATTTGCGAAACCAAAAACTACTCAGCATGCTTTATATTAAAGACATTTTGGGCTAGTCCAGCGTTTTTCTACGCAGTTTCAGTCTCACATTAAAAGCAGTAACCTGAGAGCCAGAGTTACAGCATGATGTCCTGTTGGAAACCAGAAAGTAATGCCAAAGACTCAAAAGATTATGGTGTCCATAGTGGCTCAGCATTTGTTAGCTAGTTTTTTTACATCAAGCCTTAATGGGGGATTTTCACTCAACATTAAACAGCTACAACCTGAATTTACCAACATCCAAACCTGCATCTTTGAGCCTGCACTTGTCATGAGATACCAAACTTGTGATTTTATACTAATCTGATTCATCTGATAAATTAAAATGGGGCAATTTATTTTATGTCACTGCAGCGAATTTTCTTTTCTTTAACCCTTTGTGTTAAGGTAACAACATCCTGCATGGCTTAACTTTAACTACACAGAAAGACCACAAAGGAAAGAACGAGCCCAGAGAGATGTCTTCTCTTTTCTCTGCATTTGTATTCTGCCCTGAAATTTATCTTTGAATAACTTTTCATAGTTATCTTTGTTATTTTTGTTATATTTTTTGTTATTAAGTTTTGGCTGTTTTTCAGACCAACTGCTCTGGCTACTAATAACCATTAATACTACATGGTATGTAATAAGCCAGTTGTAAGGATGATGTGATAAATGCTACGAAAAAATGGTAGGCTGGTCCAATTTCTTAGTGGTGGGTGAAATGTCAGTAAGGTGGTTAACTGTCCCAAAGCACCAAAAAGCAGATTTGAATCGATCATATCTATACATTTTCTGTTCTTGTAAACACATGTTTGACTTGTGCGAGTTGTTTTTTTGTTTTGTTTTTTGATAAATGTTTGTTTGCCGCCCTGCAGAGCACCCATATAGTCATCTAATCGACAACACTGAAAGATGGCAAGATCAAGTTCTTCAACCCACAGAATTAAATGATCCAAGATATGGTGAGTTAGGTCCTCTGACTGAAAGAAAGTGCAGAGAGATTTTAAACACGTTCTCCCCTTCTCAAGCTTTTGCATGAAGTATTCATTTTTACTGCAATCTGCAAAATGCAGTTTTTTAAAGACACTGTACGTAGAAATGTGTCAGCATATTGTACAGTAAGTGCAGAGTATAGTATGTTTACCACTGTTTTTTTCAGGATAAGCAGTGTAAAGTATTATGTAAAAGGTCTTAAAAACATTTGTAAATATACTTGATGTGTGTTTTACAATATATCCTGATGCAACACCAGTTTGAAGTCATGGACAAAGAAGTTTTAATGAACAATTAAATTTAAGTGATACATTTTACTGAGTGAAATTAACGTCACCACGACTTCTGTGTTTGCTCCGTGTAGACAAGCTCCTCTGTCCATCCGCGTCTTACTGGGGAGGGCAAACAGTTCGTAACTGTGATGGCTTTTACACGAAAGAAGAAGACGTCCAGACATCTTGGACTGGCAGCAGCAGCAGAGTAAAGCCGAGGTGCCGTTCTCCCAGCGCGAGTCCTTCTCCAGGACTTCACTTGAGTCTCAAAGGGGTTTACATCAAACCAGTCCTCTGTGCTATAAGACATTAAGAAAATCAGGCAGTCAGGCAATCTCAGATCGAGACAGTTTGTTATATGATTTTGTGTCAGTAAATAAATGAGTGAGATGTTATAAGTTTCCTTTTCCTTTACTAGAGAAGTCGGAGCAGATGTCTGAGTGATAGTTGTGGGCAAAGCAGCTGATCACTTGGTTATGGATGTATAATCATGGACTTTCTTTCTGTGCTGACGTTTGGCTTTGATTGTCATCTTCTTCTTCTTCTTCTTCTTCTTCCTTTGACAGTGGTATCTGCCATGGTGGACCTGGCAGCCATGAGGGATGCTGTTGTGCCAAAACATGGCGTGGACCCCAGCCTGGTCAACCCTAAATGCCCCACAGACCTCATTGGTAGACCACTCATTACAGATTGATTACAGCAAATGTGTGTTTTTGCATTTGTATTTTCCCTTTATACATTAAATGAGTTTTTTTTTTTTTTTTTAGTTAAGCAAGAACGCTGATCTGCTTTATCAGTCTTTCTCTTTGAATCTTATTTCCACAGTGCCATACAGAATGCTCCAAACCCCGGTGGAGGGACGGTCCAAA